TATAAATGAACCACATTTTCATTATCCACTTGTCAATTGAGGGACACTTAGGTTGCTTCCATCTTTTAGCTATTGTGAAAAGAGCAGCAAAAAGCATGGATGTACAAGTGTCTCTGCAATAGAATGAGTTCTTTGGGTATATGCCAAGGAGTGGTATAACTGGGTCAAATGATAGGTTCATTTGTGTTTTTTTAGGAGTTCTCCACACTGCTTTCCATAGGGGTTGAACAAGTTTTCAGCCCCACCAGCAGTGGATGAGTGTTCCTCTTTCCCCACATCCTCTCCAATGTTTGGTATCATTTGTTCTCTTGATCTTAGGCAGGCTGACTGGAGTAAGATGAAATCTTAAAGTCATTTTAATTTGCATTTCCCTAATTATTAGTGATGTTGAACATCTTTTAAGATGTTTCATATCCAGATTTACTTCTTCTTTTGAGAACTCTCTGTTCAGCTCCTTAGCCCATCTTTTAATTGGGTTCTTCCTGTCTTGATTCTATGTTTTTTGAGTTTGCTATATATTCTGGATATTAAACCTCTGTTGGATGTGTCGCTGGTAAAGATTTTCTCCCATTCTGTGGGTGTTCTCTTTGCTTCCTTGGTTGCCTCCTTTGATGTACAGAAGCTCTTTAGTTTAATGAGGTCCCATTTGTTAATCCTTGCCCTTGTTACCTGAGCAATTGATGTCTGGTTTAGAAAATCTTTCCTATATCTATATCTTGTAGGGTTTTGCCAATTTTTTCTTCTAACAGTTTCAGAGTTTCAGGCTTCACATTGAGGTCTTTGATCAAATTGGAATTGACTATTGTGCATGGTGAAAGATAGGGATTTACTTTCATTCTTCTACAGGTAGAGATGCAGTTTTACCAGCACTATTTGCTGGACACACCGTCTTTCCTCCAGTGAATATCCTTGGCCCGTTTGTCAAATATCAGGTGGCTGAAATTGCATGTACTCATATTTGGGTCTTCAATTTTGTTCCATTGATCTATGGGTCTATTTTTGTGCCAATACCATGTTGTTTTATGACTATAGCTTTGTAGTACAGCTTAAAATCTAGTATAGTAATCCCCTCGGCATTGCTCTTAGTGCTCAGGGTTATTTTGGCTATCCGAGGTCTTTTGTGCTTCCATGTGAATCTTAGGATGGTTTTTCCCTATTCTGTGAAAATGTCATGGGAGTTTTGTTTGGCATTGCATTGAATCTATAAATGACTTTTTGTAGGATGATCATTTTCACAATATGAATTCTTCCAATCCATGAGCATGGGAGGTCCTTCCATCTTCTGATGTCTTCCTCAATCTCTCTTAAAACATTTTAAATTTTCATCGTAGAGCTCTTTAATGTCTTTGGTCAGGTTTATTCCGAGATTTTTTTGGTTTTTTTTTTTTTTTTTTTTTTTTTTTTTTTTTTTTTTTTTTTTTTTTTTTTTTTTTTAGGGAGGAGGGCTGGTTACTTTACCTGTGCTTCCACTATTTCCAACTATTTGCGGCTATTTCCCAAATTCTAGGATCGTGAGACACCTAGTGGCGAAATAGAATAGTTACATTTTGCAAGTGCTTGACCTAATTTTCACCAACTGGAGTGAATTTACTTAATAAAATAATTATTCGGGATGCAAGGATTCATAAGTGG